TTTGTATAGAGCTAGAGGCTCTAAACAATCAAATTTGAGCCTACCTTCAATTCAAATAGTGTTAATAAATATAGTTTTAATATTGGAAAGTTTTGTAATAGCCTTAAATTATATTTTCATTTTTTAGTTATAAAATTTAAAGCTTTAAAAATAGTGTAGATCGCTCATATCTATGAAAACTTGAAAATATTAAAAATTGATCGTTGAAAAATGAATTACAAGATTGACTATTTTCAAAACTTGAAATTCACTTTTTTCTCATGTATATACATCTTGATGCCGAGATGATAATTTTGATGATATTTGGGCATCAAAACAATCTCTTCTAATGAAAGTTTTGAGGTAGGCCTTAATTTGATTGTTTAGAGCCTAGGATCTATATAAACTTTTCTATATATATATATATATATATATTGTTTCACGCGGGTTGCACCGATGTTTTTACTGTCCAGAAAGTGTAAAGCATTTATCTATGGGGTGTGGTTTGCATAGAGCCCATGCTCTAAATAATCAAAGTAGAGCTTACCTTTAAATAGTGTAAAAACATGCGGCTTCGAAAATCTTTGTGATAGCCTTAAAATATATTTTCAGTTCCAATTATAAAATTTAAAATCTCAAAAATAATGCAGATGAAGTATATCTATGAAAATTTTAAAAATTGACTTTCAAAGATTTTCAAAACACAAAACACAAAACTACAAATCATAAAAGATATTATATCAACTAGCCTTTGTTGCACATTGGATCTCCACCTTCAATGGCATACAAGATTAAATGCAAATTGTACTCGTTCTCATATGCAGTATTCACGCCCATCTCGGTACAAGGGATATTTAAACGTGTCAAACATTAACGCCACGGAAAAAATAAAATCAAGTGCAAATTCCACGAATTTTTCAGGCATCGGCAAGAATTTAACCCAACAAAAATCAAGAATTTAACCCAACAAAAATTTAATCCCTCAAAAAATTTTCAGTCACGAATTTAGCCCGACAAAATTTTTCACTTTAAACCCAACAAAAAACAAGAATTTTTCAGTCACGAATTTAATCCAACAAAAAACACGTATGTTCCCTCCAAAATCCAACAAAAAATTTTCAGAATTTAATCCAACAAAAAACAAAAAACAAGAAACAAGAAACAAGAATTTAATCCAACAAAAAACAAGAATTTAATCCGACAAAAAACGAAAAACAAGAATTTAATCCAACAAAAAACAAAAAACAACAAAAACAAGAAATTTTCAGACTTTAATCCAACAAAAAACAAGAATTTAGTCCAACAAAAAACAACAAAAAAACAAAAATTTAATCCAACAAAAAAACAATAATTTTTTAGGGACGAATATAACCCAACAAAAAAAACATGGATGTTGGCTCCAAAATCCAAAATTTTTCAGGCATTGGCAAGAATTTAAGCGCTATCCCCTTTTGCCCTTCCCACTCTCTCTCGTTTTCTATTTTCAGTCTCTCGGTTCGCCATTTACATTTTGCCACGCATCTGATATTTGGCAAGGGATTTGGTGCATAATCTCCTGCCAATTTCTCGTGACCAGAGAAGAAGCTCATCCGTCTTCATTCCCTTCCAATTCTCATGCGCCATAACCCTCCATTTCATCTTCTCTCCGAAGAGTTCTCCTTCTCTCGTATTTGCTCAGAATCTTCATATTCTCTCTTGCTTCATCAGGTATCTCTCTCTTCATCAGGTATCTCCCTACCTCTTTTCTCGCTTTCTAGGGTATCTTTATTTTCACTTTTTTTTTCTCTCCAATCGTCCGAATGTCTTCTCTCTCTTTACTTCACTCTTTGTTTTGAACGTTCATTTTTAATGCGTTTTTGTAACTCAGGGCTAATTCTGCTTCGCTCTCCATGTTTCCAGTGTACTATGTTAGAAATCAAACTTCATTCTATATTAGTTTTGGTTGATTAGGATAAGTTTGGGATGTTTCTATTGGATTGAGATATGTAAGGTTTGGTGGATCAGGAGAAGTCAAGGAAATTTCTATGTCATTAGGGTTTGCATAGGAGATGGAGTTTGAATGGGATGTCATAGTCCCTTCTACAGCTATAAATAGGCACCGTAATCCTGCAAATTTTTTATTTATTTATAGTTAGAAGAAAACTTTAGGGATTTTTTTTTTGAAGTGTTATCCTTCTGCTTTGGGTTATTATGAACACAGCCAGAAATATTTAGAACTTTGGTGTTGACTATTTCTTTATATTTATTTAATTAGTCATAAATAACTTATGGTTTGTATTGAGATAGTTTGATCATTGCTCTCATTGCTGCTTTTTAACATGGTCTCAAAACAAGGTTATTGAAGAGCAACCAAAATTTTCTCCGAGATCTGAGGTATGGTTTTCACATGATTTTTTACTTCATGTCGTTTGGATAGCAATAAGACAATCCTAGGTAGTGTGTTGCACTCTGCTACTAACTGTTTTATTGTCATGCTTATCCCTTCCAATAAAAAGACTTGGCAACTCGCTTCTATGTTTGTATGTTTTGAACAATGTTGTTATGGCCGGACTGGTGAACAAATCAGTGAAGGCACCGGTTTGGTTGGACGGCCCGAACCTGATTGGTTCACTGGTTGGACCGGTCTAAGAAATTGAATAATTAATAACAAATAGTAAAATAAGGAAATAATTGAAAAAATAGAGAAAGATATGGAAAAAAAGAAGAATCGAAAATATTAAGAAAAAGTCAAAAGATATTAGAAACATAACTCCTCAAACCATAAGAAATACTGACTAATAGTACGATAACTCAAATTTTAAAGAAGATACAAAACAAAGGCTCATAATATATTATTAAAAACATTTGTTATGAACCACAATCATAAGTAGGGAGAAAATAAGTATACCACCACAAGTCCACAATCTATAACTTATGGGCCTTAAAACCTTCTTACGATTAAAATATTGCAAAACCCAAGTGATATAACAAATCTGTCAAAAATAATTAAGTCGTTTTCATCAACTTCATTTCTATTTATTTGCTTATCATTGGCCTCTTTAGTATTAACCTCCAAATCATCATCATCTACACCTATGACAATATTAGGATACAAACTTACGTTCCTAGTGTGCGTAAAACCTTAAAACATGTAATTATTGAATAAAAATTTTACCCTCTTATGGTGGTTCCATCTAGTTGGCAAAAATTTTGACGATGATGATGGTGGTTCCATCTCTATCCAATTATCTAGATGCTCTTTAACACCTTCAAGAGCGAGCCTCTCTTTCTCAACAACCCACTATTCCACAAGATCGATCCTCTCTAAGTCAATTTGGCTTAAGGCATTGGTTTCCTTCCATTCCTGCAATATAATATTGCAAAGATTAAACAAAAATAGAAGTAATTCTAGAACATTATAATTAAGATGCATAATGAAAAAACTAAAGGACACAAGAATTTATTACTTCTCTTCAAAGCTCAAGTTGTATTTTACAAAAATGAAGTCATTTGGAGTCATGTGTTCAAACCTATTTCACTTATCAGTGTGGATGCGTTGGAAGACACTCCACTTCCTCTCACATCCACTTGCACTGCAAGTTTGATTTAGAATACAGATAGAAAAAATCCCAAGGTTGGGAACTTCTCCACCAAATTGTTCCCACCACGTCCTTGAAAGTGATATTAAATAACATAGATTAGAGAACTAGAAATACACAAGGAAAAATGCATTACATTATAATTAATAATGACTTCATAAAATGGATTACCTGGGAGGATTGTACCATTCCAAGTAATTGCTAAAGATCGCCCAAATACTCCTAATGCATTTAGATATTGTCACAACTCTCTTTGATCTTCACTTGCATATGTGTTTCAGGGTATGAGTTCTCCACCATGGTCTGCAGGCCCCCTCAAAACCATAGGATGGGTTGATGGTCCTTGTTGTAAAAGAATTGGGGGCTAAGGTAATATCGAGCTGCATGTTTAGGGCGATGTTACTGCCCTTCCCATTTTTTGTCAATTACGTCCCAGTATTTCTCATGTTAGGTCCTCCTATATGTACTCCGTGGCATGCCTAAAATCACTATCTTCTCAAAAACTTTACGTGGGCTTTATAATTTGAATTACATTTTTAATACTAGTCTAAATATGATTACTTAAAACCCAATTCTCCATCTCCTTCCCACTAGTATTCTTAGTCCATATAGAATTCTTCCATGTTGCTGACATGACTACGACTCTCAATCCATTCATTTGATTCGACATGCGCTGTAATGTGAGGAATTAGTAGCAAATCGAGTTATTGTCGGCATCACTCACTCATTATTATTTGCATCCTTACTCATAAGATTGAGGACAAATTAATGGATGTAGATAAAAGGGAAAATATCCTATTATCCCTTATTTTTAACTTCTATATCTCATCAGACCCAAGAATTGAAAATATTACTTGTAAGCAAAAGGACTCCATCTTTTCAATCTTCCAACCCCCTAAACCCTTTTGAGCATGTATTATTGACCTCAACAACTTATGAAATGACTCTATCTCTCTCTCTAAAACTCCATTTCTCTCTCTCACATTACGTCTCTCTCTCAAAACTCCATCTCTCTCTCACATCATCGTCTCTCTCTCTCTCAAAACTCCATCTCTCTCCCTAAAACTCAAACTCCATCTCTTTCATTCTCTAAAACTCCATCTCTATCTAAAACCCAAACTCCATCTCTCTTTCACACATAAGAAGGTGTGCTTGTGTTCGAGCTCAAGCTAAACCCTTTGGCTGGTAAACTCACCGAGAAGTGAAGAGAGATAGATGGAGTTTTA